TGCAATAAAATGTGATAGGTGAAATAAAGCCTAACGGGTCATAAATTCTAGCAAGTTCAGAGAGAAGTGTGCGTTTTGTACAAGGTTTATTTTGGACAGGATTAACAAGAAAGAAGAATGCATCATCACAAGGATCCCACTGAAGACCTAAAACTTTTATAGAACTTTCATCAGAAAGCGAATTAAAATCGAGCGGTTGTTTAGCTAAATCAGAAGCGGGAAGAATTTTTAACAAATCAAGGTTATTACTTGACCATTTATGTAGTTGAAAGCCTCCTAATTTCATAAGAGAAACCAACTCAGAAACCAGCTGTTTGGCTAGTTTTAAACTAGAGCACGAGAAAACAAAATCATCAATATAGCAGTAATTTTCGATTGCATGTGCGGCTAGAGGAAATCTGTGTCCTTGGTCTTTCACTAATTGTTTGAGGATTCTTAACGCTAAAAATGGTGCACTACTAATTCCATATGTAACTCGAGTTAATCGATAATCCCGAACTGGTTGGGTTGGAGAAAATCTCCAAAGAATACGTTGATAATTGCAATCTTGCGAATTGACTAAAATCATTCGGTACATTTGTTTAATATCAGCACACACAGCAAAAGCATTAAGGCGAAAATATAACAAAATAGCACATATGTCCTGTTGTAACTTGGGTCCAACAAATAGACAATCATTAAGAGATTTCTGATTAGGTAAATGAGCAGAAGCGTTAAACACAACCCTTAATTTGGTTGAAATACTATGCGGCTTTACCACACAGTGGTGCGGAATATAATAAGCATTGGTTGAGGAAAGCGATTGACCAGAAATTAATTCCATATGGCCAAGGTCAAGAAATTCCTTTAAAAAAGCAGAATATTCTAAATACAAATTTTCATTCTTTAATAATCGGCGTTCCAGAGAATGAAAGCGAGATAAAGCAAGGTCACGAATACCAGCAAAAGGCGGAGGATCACTCTTAAAGGGCAGTGACACGCTATATCGACCATTAGTATAGGTATAAGAATCTAAAAACAATTTTTCACAAAGGTCATCATCACTAGAAAAGGTCGTAGTTTCGGGTATTTTTTCAACTTCCCAAAAATTGGTTAAAGTATTATTAAGTTCTCGAATACAAGAAGATTTGCAAAAAAACGTGGACATAACAGGACGAGGTATTGAAGAAGTTTTTCCCAAAATCACGTAACCAAAAATTGTATGAATGGCATCAGGTTCAGATATGGTTCCGGTAACATGTCCATTTAATAATAGTTTTGGAAAGACATCTGCCCCAAGTAACAGATCGACAGGACCTGGAGTAAAATATTTGGGATCAGCAAGCTTAAGATCTAAAAGATGAGACCAATTATGAATAGGTAATGTAGAATCAGGAAGGTTATCACATATTTGATTAACGATAATAGCATCTAGATATATTTTAGGTTCTGGCTGATTAAGGGGTTTGCACGTTACCCCTACACGAGCGGTGTCAAGGGTAGATGTCATCGAGTCTAAACCTCTAATATCTACGGAAAATTCGGTTTGGGCAAGATTTAGACGAGTAGCAGCTCGCTTGGAAATAAACGAGCTCATACTTCCTGAATCTAGTAAGCAACGATATGAGCGGTAAATTCCTCGATTATCAAGAACATCGATAAGGGCGGTAGCTAATAAAATTCGACTTGATTCTATTACTCCTTGAGCGGTAAGAATTTGATTTCCTAAAGTACTAGTACTGGTGAAATTTGGCAGAGACGTAGACGAAGTAGGAGGCAAGCGGTCCAAAGGGCGGTGATTTTGAGATATTTGCCGATCAAAATGCAACAAGCTATGATGTGATTTTGAAAAACAATATCTACAACCTTGAGTACTATTGCAAGACCTCAGGTCATGAGAACTACTCAAGCAATTATAGCACAAATGGTTAGATTTGCAGAAGGCATGTCTTTCAGAGGGCGACTTTGAAGCGAAATTCTGACATTTATAAAGCGAATGAGTTTCCTTGCAAAGAATACAATTAGAACTAGGCGATTTAGCGCCAGTATTCGTAAAAAACGAACGCGGACGTGGTGTGATAATCTTAGGTTTATTTTTTATATTTGAACTGGATGGCGAGTCCGAATCAATATTATCATAAGCTAAATATTGTTCGTTTAAGAATTTAATAAGACTTTTATAGCTAGGAACCTGACAAGAACGATGTTCAAGTTCGAAACGTAGTTTAGTTTCATTATCAAGTCGTTTAAGTAACATCATGGCTAGAATGAAATCCCAATGTTCAACCGGAAAACCTAAGATTTCTAGAGCGGCAATATTTTCTTTAAAAATATCAAGTAATTTTTCTAAAGCGTGCGGATTATTCGATTCAATTTTAGACGTGCTGTCAATCTCATTCCAATGAGCTTGTGCACATTTTCGTGGATTTGCATACCTCTCTTGTAAAGTATCATAAGCTAATTGATAATTATTAGAAGTTAAAGGCAAATGCCGAACTAAAGAATATGGTTTTCCATCCAAGCAAGAGAGTAAATAATCGAATTTTTCAATATTAGATAAATGAGGTTTTTCATGAACTAAATTATTAAAATGGTCTATAAATGAGCGAAAATTTCTATAATCGCCACTAAATTTCTTTAATTCAATCACCGGCAAACGAATATGAGATGAATTTGGATCTATATGAAAAAGTGTAGAATTATGCAAAGCAGTATTTTGATTAGCGTTTACTGGTTGAGTATCAGATTCAAATAATTCCGAAAATAATGCTTTAATCTTATAAAATTCTTCTAAAAACATTTCTTTGGTAGCATCTTCGCCCCCAGCATCTTCAGGGATAGCAAACAATGTGGCAAGAACATTATTATGATGTTTAAAAAAATCCTCTTTAAGACTATCAATATCTGCGCACCTTACTTTAAAGACATTTTTGAATGATTTATTACTATTCGCTTTATCAGCGAGCATACTAATTACGTTTATTTCATTTAAGCAAGAAGTTCCTAAAGTTTTATATTTAACAAGTTTTTCAACCATTGTAATAAATTAAATAAATCGAATCGCAAGCAAAACAAAATTAAAACCAAATTTATTTGTATCAGCTGATCAAAAGGCAATATTAATGTAGCGGCAGCGGTATCAAGCTCACCTCGATACGAAACACGGCGAAAAGGCGGGCGATTTTTCACAAATTTCAAAAATAACGAAATATACGGTAGCGGAGTAAACGACAAAGCGGTGATTGATAAACAGAGCGACAATTAGCGAAAAGGCGATAATAATAATAAATGAAGGCCACTTGAAGGCCGATTGATTGGAACCTGTGTACACTACCGATGTCGAACAACTTGAGCACGACTCGACTAAAAAAATGACCAATATGTCTACCTGATAAATTTTACAATTAACTCAATAAATTTAATACTTATTGAAATAATATTGTATGCAAACTAAATGATTTTTTTTTAGTAAGAACTGATTAATTTTAGCAGATATGCTATAATTTTGAATAGCGCTTTTGATAATTTAAAAAATAAAGAAAATTTTAAATCGAATTTTTCGCAAAAAAAAATCCCACAGTTATAATAATGCAACAATTTAATTCTAACTGTTATTAAAGTACTCGAAGGACCAAAAAAATGTAATAGAATGATTGGAATATTACGTAAAAAAGGGGCTGATTGTAACAGTCGAAAAAAAATAAGATAAACGTGTCTCAAACGCGCTTACCTTCTGTGCTGCATCATATGGTTCGTCGGATGAAGTAGGTGGTAGTATTAGTCCAGTAGCCAAGACCGGGCCCGGTTACACAATTTATATAACAACGTTTATTATACAGGATTTGTAATAGCGGATTTAACGGCACATACACACCACAAAGCGTTCGTCGCGGCAATTTCTGTAGTACTCTTCGTCCAACGGCGTTTCACTTGTCTTACAGTCAGACGAAGCGCATGTGTGGGCCAAAGTTTTAAGTAAGCGATTTGAGACAAAGCGCGAATATTTAAATAATAAAATAGGAATTAATTCATTCTGGAACAGTAAAGCAATTCATTTGTAATAAATGTCTTTGCCCCAACAATATTTGATACTATTATAATTATTGACGTTGTTTTACCCACAAAGCATTCCTATTCGTAAAATTGATAAAATTAATGGAACAAAATGGAATATTTTTCTTTAAAAATATTTGTGTCTTTAAGGGAAAATTTCGACGAAATTACATAAAGTCGTATAAATAGATTTCTTCAAAATCATACGAATTTTGGTGATTTCCAAAATAAAGGTACGTTTTGACCTTAGTGGTTTGCCATTCAAGTATTATTATTCAAAATTTCCCTGACTATAAATAAAATATAATTCGAAGATTACGGATAGGTTACAGAAGAATCACTCATGACTTTTTAATGGTTTCTGATAATCTTTCCTTCTGTTAGTTTTGCCACCCTGATGACTGTCCACATTATGCAGACGCCCGCAGAAGCCATAAACTGGGCAACTCTTTAAAAGTTATCCTTGATAGACCGGGACAGTACCCAAGACTCATAAACTTCCTCAAGTATGCTAACCTTTGCAACTTAATTTAGATTTTATAAATGGACTAAGATAATGAAAACTTTTTTATTTTCAGTTTTTAGAGAAAATGTTTTTGTTTCAAACAGAAGTTGAATATCTGCTTAATTTTTTTAAATTTTTATCATTATTACTCTTGCGAAGAGATATTCAACTTCTGTTTGGTTTATTATTAATTTTAAAACAAGCAAAAATTTTATGAATAATAACATTTTTTCAAAAAGATAGACAAGTTTTCTTCCACTTTTTTAGTTCTTCCAGGGTCATGTCATTGTGTCAATAACTAAACTTCAAGGGGCCCAACAAGATCATATTGTGTATCTGGGATTTCAGAAGAGGTTTAAAAATAAAGTAAGCAGTTATGAGGAAACCCGCAAATGATAAAAAAATCGGAGGTTCAGTGTTGTAAAAGGGAAGGAATTGCTGCTTTACTCGACAAAATAAAACATTATTCAGTAAAAAATAATTGTAATTGTGCAATTCGTAAAAAAAATAAATACGTACAAAATGCTACTCAAAAAAGTGCGCATTCATATAACCTAAACGACTTAAATAAAGTGGTGGTTTAAAAATAAATATTAACAAAAAATTACTTTGTTCACACATAATAATACTTACATATATTTAACTAAACAGAATCAATATTAATAAATTCTGAAGATCTTAAAACTATGTTAAGTAGAAACTCGGAAGACTTGAAAACAGCAAATATACAGTGATGTGAAGATCATACCTTTGCTCCTGCTTTGCTTGTGTTTGAATGAACAGTAAATGGCGCTCTCATGTGCATGAGAGAAAATGATGCTGTATCGACCTTGTCAAATAGCGCACTCAACCTGTGAATTGCAATATTGATACTGTGTCGTTTCTTTTTCTACATCTACGAGCGAACTCAAGCAAAGCAGGATGAAAGTTTGATAATTGTTAAACTATTAATTTCCAAATAAGACTTTTTTTTATTATGTATTGCTCGTTATGTTGTATAAAGTAATTAATTTTCAGAGTTTATTCTACAGGTAGGTATAAAAAAATTAGTTAATACATAAATTAAATTTGTTTTTTTTATTGCCCATTATAGACTATTAAGTATATATCTAGTACATTGTATTGATATCACCTAATTTTTATACATTTCGAAAATAAATAAAAGGAACACAGAAAGTTTGAAATCTATACCACTGGTGCTTGACTAATAAGAAATGAGATGAGTAGTCATCAAATATAAAAATTGTTTTATTCAATTTAACAATCACCCACATTTAATAATTTTACTTTTACTAACGGACGTATTGTATCAAAAATTAAAAAAACTACTCGTATTTTGGATTACACTAGTATATAAAATTCACATTAATATCTAACTATTAATCAGGCAAGAATTTTAGTTATAACATATATTAGCTGCTATCTTATTTTTAACTAGCTACACTAAAAAGAAAAAATACATAGTTCTTAGTTTAAAAGCTGTGCATCTCAATATTTAAGACACACAGTGTAAAAGGTTATTCAGCGAAATAAAAAAACTTAATGCAGGTATATTGGTGAGTAATTGCTTGATATTTCAATTTGTGTTATAGACATGCAAGCAAGTTTCAAATTATAGTTATATGCATTTGAAAAAGGTGTACTTTAAAACCATTTTTGGATATACAGGGTGCTGCGCTTTTAACCTGACAAATACAAATGTGTATTATTTAAATGAAACAAACTGTACTTTATTTCAGTTTTAGAATGATGTAGTAATACCGTATTCAACCATAGAATATTTTTAAAAAATATTACAGGTTTGCCAAGCAATTAATTTTTTGTGAAATTACAGAATGATGCAGACCCCAATAAAATTATTCTAATTTAGGTAGGTTAGCAATAATTTTCAAAATTGTTTAAAACGCAGACTTTATTTATAAGATACCAAGCTAACGAATAGTAATGTTAGAACTAGTTAATTTTATACAGTGTTTTGAAATGTGTCAAATATGGCTCATTTTAAGTTCAATTTACTCAATTGTTTTAAATGCAACACCTCTGTATATTATTTTAGCAATAAATTCCTTACAAATGCCTCTTTAACGATCTCTTCTTTTTGTGAACTTTTTTTAATTTTTGTTTAGTAGCTATTGACGAGCTTTTTTTCCAACTTTCGATACATGAAATACATTGATCCACAATAATTATGATTTTTTATGATTGAAGTACCCTTTAATTTCGAACCGACATGGAAAATATTACATGGACGGATAGACGTTCGCGAAAAACTAAAAAAAAAAGCTTCCCTCACTCCTCCAACTTCCCCTCCTCTTTCTCTGCCGCGCCTAAATGGTACGGGATAGAAAAAACTAAAAGCTAGATCCCGCCTGTAAGGATTTCAAACTGCCCAACTTCATCTTACCCCTACTTCACCCTCCACCCCAGGAGAGTTTATATAATTATAATAAACAAAAAGCGATTATACCGAAACTTGAACCCTTGCTTCAGAAGTCAACGAATTATCTATAAACCACATCATTATGCTACTGTTTGCGAGACGGTATAGTAACGATAGGAAAGCTAAAAGGATAATTGTTACTTGAAATAGGCGAGCAACTTCGAAGTGTGTTCCTGTTTTATCTCCGTAACCAATTATTTGCAAAATTGTTATTTTATGCATTTCTGTTAAATAAACCATGTTTCTGATCTGTAAGGTTAATAAATTAAAATGACACGTATCTACAATACTGACAGCAATTAATGTCATGCGGTTACAATCACACAGCAAGTTGCTAAGGCGTTTTGAACGAATTAAGAGTGCCCAACTATGAAGAGTGTTGATAACTTTTGTTTTTTTTGTTTGTAAATTTCGTCGAAAAAAAGCCATTGAAATTTTTTTTGCTTGCTTTCTTATTATCAAGAACGATACTCTATTAGTTATTAATTGTTTAACAAGTTGGTAGCGAATTTCGTCGATCAGATGAATTAATTTTTTTATTCTTAATTTTTGCAATAAATTTGAAAATCACAGCATTTTTGAATAGAGACCGAAGATACCTTTCAAATGAGGTATTTACAAAGTTGGGCGTTGCAACTGTTATTCGAAGAGGGGTGAAAGAAGGGTGAAATTTTCACATCGGAGGATATCATTTTATAATCTTAAATTGACTTGTTTCGGGATTTCGTTATAAATATGCTCAGTAATTGAGCTACTGAATTTATTTCAATTGGCTATTATACACTGTATATTCATCGTTAATAATTATAAAGAAACCGTACATTTTAATAAATTGTAATAAAATTACCAAAAACCAATTCAGTTATAAATGTTAAGGGGAAATTAATTGTAAGATGTCAGCCCGAAAGTATAACTGAAAAGTTCCCCTGCGAAAGGTCCGTGGTTCCAATCTGGGTTAAAGCCAATTTTATTTTATAAATTAGTAAAATCCAGAAATTCAAATCAATGTGTTAAATATATTTAAAATTGTTATTTTATGTTAATAACTTTTAAAGTACTTATTAAAATGTTGTAAATTTTCTTCAGTGATTGGTAAAAAAAATATAGTATACAATTTCTAGTGGCTTGCTCGTATCACACTCCGCCTATGTGGCGTTGTGCTCATACTTCGTCTCCGTTTAATTTGGTCACTTTATACCTATCCACTCTTGTTGCACAAACTAACAAGAAAGTAGGTACTCAGAAAATGCTAATACCGTAAGAAAGTCAGTCTTTACAATACTTACGGTTTGAATTAAAAAATTATGCACAAAAATAAATGTAGTAGGTATTCTCGAATCAATCCCGTTATTATTTGTTGTCTTTAAAATATTATTTGCATTTTTTAAATAGTTTCGTACCAACCATGCCTATTTCGATTACAACAAAAAAAAAATAAAGGTATATCGGAATTTGAATAAAAACTGGCATCGTTTATAGGTTTTTATCATTCAGTGCTTTCACCTTATATTCACCTAGCGAGCGAACTTAGAGAAAATAGTTTTGGGTAAAATACCTTATGAAAGAAGGTTCGTGTCTTAGATATGTAACGCTTAGAACTCTAAATAGGTTAGGTTTGTTTAAACTGCCGCCTTAAGACTCATTCAATACAATTTCACGAAATAAATATACATAATTGTATTACTTAAAAAGTAGAAGTCATTAAAATAAACAACTTTGTTAAAAACTTTTTCGAAAAAAAAAAAAAAAAAAAAAAAATAAATAAATAAAAAAAAGAAACAATTATTTATTCCGAAAGGTTCTGTCTAATTTTCATAATGTGTGTCGAACTTTCGTCGATTAAATTAAATGTTTTTCACATTCAGATAAACAAACTATTGAAATCAGACAACACACGACTGAGTTACAATATCCAGTACACAGTAAATCACGATTCATAGATTAAAAATCCGAAAAAAAAAGGATAAAAATATATCATATTTTAAACGTTCGGATTTAGTCCATGCTCGGATTTAGATTTTTAATTTAGTATGTCTTATTTTTGATTTTTTGGAAAAAGTTATTTATTTTAATAGTTAAAAAGGGATCAACTTAGGATTCAGACTGTATATTTTACCTGCAAAATGTAATACATTCTATCTTTTTTATTTTTCCTCTTTTTTCTAATCTAAGTTTAAAAATTAATTAGCCAATATTAAATTTTATTAAATAACAATAACAAAAACGTATCCAGGGGGGGTCATAGGGACATGTCACCCCCCGAAAGTTTTAAGTACACAAGTAAATCAAGAACTAAAATGTTCAAAATTTCTACAAGATTGTCAGCTTCCCTTGGATTTGTTTGTTAATATTTAAAAAGTTTTGTTCAGCTAAACAATGATTTAAATCTAATACAAATTTAAGGTTACTTATAACTTTATGTTACAAACTAAAAAAACTAGGAGGTTAAAGAAAATTTAAAATAGAATTAGCCTAAAACTGAGCTTCTGAACAGTACATTTTTAAAAATGCTCGGGGTTCCTCCTGGACTATTTGGGGATATTTAATATCTCTCAAACCCCTCACTGTTCATCATAATGTCAAATTTGAATGGTTTTAATAAATCGTACACCAGTCAATATGTCTTTACTAAAATATACCTGCTTCGATTTTTAAATTTCACTATAAGGCAATTACGTTTTGAATCACAATTTCGTTTTTTATCTAATATTTTTTGGCGGTTACAATAATTCTGGTACAGTTTTGGCATGAGATGAATATATACTATGAAGTAAAAAGATGAGGTTTTTAATTAGGTTTATCGCCAACCGTCAATAAAGCCATGCATTACCATAGCGATTTGAGGAAGTAAACAAACACTTTATCTCACTGTAAAAATCAAATATTTTATCTGCCGCTAATATTTATCAACATTGCCATGAACGTCTGACAGAAATAGTCTGTAACTGATTTGTTTTGTATTCGCTGCTATTTTTTTGTTTGTTTACTTTGTCATACTAAAATGTGATGTTATAATATCCTTTTTTATTAATTATAATACGGTTGACGATAAAAGTTTGTATGGACCACGTCAGCAGTGACTTTATCGAACTCGCTCGGTTCATATCTCAGACTAGTTCGATAAAGAATCACTTTGCTGGCTTGGTACATAAATAAATATTTTAGTGTACTATACAATATCAGTGACATAATGTGGCCAAATTTTATACAGTTTAGGAAATACTAATATTTTAAATTATTAAGAAAAAATACTTGTTTTGGTGGGATTAAAATGAATAATGAAGCCAATTTATGACAACATAACTAAAATCAGAGATCTATTGTACATTTTAAATCTCTAGACATAAAAAGTATTTCCAGTATTTCATTACGGGATTCCCACGAATGCCAGAATAACTTTCGTTAATAAGATACAATTCATTTGATCTTTTTTAATTTTTCAGACACAGCCATATTCATACCAAACGGCAGTCTCCTTTGCATTTTTACCAACTTTCTCCTTTTCTCCGTTGGACAATTCTTTAGTGTTTTCTTCAGAATGTTGCGGTTGCGGGGAGGTACGTGCCTCGTGATGTTCACCAATGATGGTAGATATTTTATTGTAAACTAACAAAGGTGGAGGGTTCGTATTTATTCCATTGTTTTGCGGCGATGGGGGTACAGGACTGCTGTCTTCTTCGGATAGGTAAACCGTGCGACGAGTGCCAACCGAACCTAGACTGATGTTCGTATCTTGTACGAATATTTGGTCACCTAAAAATATTGAGTAAATATAAATATGTGTGAGATCAACATAATTTTAAAGATTAGTAGTTTATTTTATACAAGGTGTTTCAGAATAAAGTACAGTATACTTGTAGATCTTAACTAATCAAGGATTAAGAAAACAATTTTAATCAAAATTTTTTGAACACCTTATATTTCATAAAAGTTAAGATTAATAATTATTCCTCTTTCAATTTGTTACAAAAAGGGGACTATTAGTTGATCTTTATAAAACGCTCTATTTCCGACATATTTTCACATACTCGCCCTTTTCTTAAAAATACATATTTTATCACAAAACTTACATTTTAGTCTTTAGGAATGAGGGTATTTTTCAAATATACCACCGGAAACCCCATAAATTAACGTTTTTTTTTTAATTTTACATATTAAAGGTTTATGAGGATCATTAAATGATCATTTGTGTAAACTTATTCATTAGAATTTAGAGTTATATCTGTCACGCTCTTCGAGCATATATTTACTAGAGCAATCGTTCAAATAGACTTTGTTTTGGTACAGGGGGGAAAAATAGTGTCCAGCATTCCCATTGGTCTGTTTCGTTTTGCTTGGCATGTCAAATCGTTCAAAATTGACAGAACTGTCATTTGATTTTTGATTTTCATTAATTTCTAGCTTATTTTTGTAGTTTATAAGTGATTTTTTGTATTTTATTACTTTACTGATACAAATTTTAACAATGGTGAAAGTTTGTGTAAGTTGTAAATAGAAATAAGAAAAGGCATCGTCATGGGCATTTCACAGGTTAGTAACCATTAGCGTTTCTACCATTTTTTTAAAAGAAACACTACCTACATTTTATGAAAAAGGCCGTTAAACATAAATTTAAAATAAATGGTAAATTTAGTGAAATAAATTTAAAGAACTTGTAATATGTATAAGGAATATTGTTTTTGATTTTGGACTCTACTGAAAAGTTAAAAAAAAAAAAATAATCATAATTTTTCAATATAAACAAGCTTTTTGTTTTTAAGTCATTTTATCATGATAATGTTGAAGATGTTAAATCAATAATTTTTGTTTTTTGTAGGTTTCTAGCTAATCCTGCCGATAAAACGCATTTAGTGAAACATATTAAACTTACCCCAGAAAACATTTCAAATAGTGATGTTTTATGTTCCAATCATTTTTCTGGGTATATATTTATGTCAAAGACTGGATGTGGAGGAAGAACTAGATTAATTCTAGGTGCATTGCCATCAGAATTTACTGAGGCCCCAGAAGAAGATGAATCTAAAAGGTAAAGAACCCTGCACTTTTCTTGTGGGTTAATCGTTTAAAATTTTTAATTTTTCAGTGATGATCTGAACCATCAAGCCTCTGTTGCAGAAAAAGAAAACGCAGAATTAGAAAGCATGTAAATAACTAATTACTTTTTAATACAACACATTTTATTTTATAATAATTACCTATTACTACCCATATTTTTTATAAACCACAAAAATTGACAATAATTATTTTTTATTAAATGTACCTATGTACCTAAGTATTAGCTTGATTTCTATTTGTAGTATATCGTTTAGTAATTGAACATGCATTGGTTACGAACAATATTTTTATATTTAATAAATTATTGGAAAAAGTTCTTGTATTGTAATTCTTGTACACGTGTGTCAAGAGGTCATAAATATTTGTATAATATACCTACTATTTATTTATATTTTTGATTTTTAAATATAAGCTTCTTATCTGTTTTATTGCCTATTATTTCAACCTTCATTTTTCCGTTATACACTTTCTGATGTTTGAATTAAACAAATCTGATGTTTCCAACATAAATAATATTAATAATAATAATAATTATTATTATTTACTATGACTATAGAGGCGCCTACTTAAATAATGCAAGTTTATAAAATATGTGCATAATTTAAAGAATTTTGAAGTTATTTATCAAATTTATTATTTATATTAATTGCAAACCCCGTAAAAATGATGCGATACTGTTAATAGTGTCTTGACATTTCCCCTCAGAACGTAAACAAACCCTATTGAATGCGGACTCTATGAAATATATATGCTCGAAGGTCACGCTCTGTCAATACAAATTAGTGCGGTGTTGCCAAGTGTCCAACTAAAATCAACGAAAAATAAATACCTTATTTTTGTCATAACATTTCCATACTCTTTAAAAATCAGTTCTATTAATTTATTACCGGTCACACCCGATGATTTATTTATCTATTTTGATTGAATTGTTGTAATACATTATTTTTTAAATATTAATCATCTATAAAATAATAAACAATACTTTTCGTAAACTTTGAAACAAAATTACTTTAAGGTATTTTTCGCAGCATAAACCAACATGAACGTTTATGATAGAATATGTCATTCAGACCAATCAGACGTGTCTGAATAACATAATCTATTATAAACATTCATGTTGGTTTATGCCGCGAAAAATACCTTTTTGTTATCCAAAAGTTTTTAAAACTTTTGAATCAAGTGAATTTATTTATTTATTAGTCGAAATTTATATACAGAGTGTACAAAAAGTAACTTAACATACTAATATTTAGATTTACAAAACAGTTTTGTATAAAATTTTATGAATTAAATCAAGTTAATAAGAAATATACTGGGTTGACCATTTCACCAAAATTACGCAAAAATATATTTTTTAAATAATTTTTCGTATTCTATTAAATTTAAAATAAAACTGCAATGTGCTAATTTTATTAGCTTGATAAATCCTTGCGTTATTATGGAATAATAGTTCGCCTGGTATATTTCTGACATACTGATAATTTGATTTATTTGATAATATTTTATCCAAAACGCTTATTATAAACCTATCAGAATTCAAAACAATAAAAAGATCCCTGACACACACCATAAAAGCACGCTCGTCCTCCCACGTCCTAACTACCTTAGAAGCGGGCGCTTTTGGTTTGATGTTTCGAAATTCGCCTGTGCTCTTTTTACACTTACACCGTAAGAGCATGCTTCGCTCGCCCCACCCACCTGCAAACCGCTACAGATGCAAGCCGGACGTTTCGAAATTCGCGCGAATTTGAAAACGTCGGCCGGGCTCGGCCCTGCGCATTCTTGTTACACCTAGACCATAATAGCACTGAACGCTCGTTCCACTCACTTCCTAACCTATCGCTCGCACAAGCGAGCGCGCCCGGCCGACGTTTCGAAATTCGCGTGAATTTCGCCCTTTTTGCACCTATACCATAAGGGAATGGAACGCTCGTCCCACTTCCTAACCACTACAGAAGCAAGCGAGCGAAGCGAGTTTTATTTTAAATTTAATAGAATACGAAAAATTATTTAAAAAATTTATTTTTGCGTAATTTTGGTGTAATGGTCAACCCAGTATATTTCTTATTAACTTGATTTAATTCATAAAATTTTATTCAAACCTGTTTTGTAAATCTAAATATTAGTATGTTAAGTTACTTTTTGTACACTCTGTATATAAATTTCGACTAATAAATAAATTCACTTGATTCAAAAGTTTTAAAAACTGTTTGATAACAAAAAGGTATTTTTCGCGGCATAAACCAACATGAACGTTTATAATAGATTATGTTGTTCAGACATGTCTGATTGGTCTGAATGATATATTCTATCATAAACGTTCATGTTGGTTTATGCCGCGAAAAATTCCTTAAAGTAATTATGTTTCAAAGTTTATGGAAAGTATTGTTTATTATTTTATAGATGATTAATATTTAAAAAATAATGTATTACAACAATTTGCGCGAATTTCGAAACGTCGTCGGCCGGGCGCGGCCTTTTTACACTTACACTATAAGAACAAGGATCGCTCTTCCCATCCACTTCCTAACCATTACAGAAGAAAGCGAGCGAAGCAAGTGCGCCCGGCCAACGTGTTTCGACAAGTTCAGGAGAGAGCAAGCGACGCAAACACACCCTTTTTACATCTAAAATATTCCATGCTTACGCATGCGCAGATGATAATATGAGATTTTAATGGGTTATAAGATACTTTTCACTTCAATTTGAGCTGTGTCTAGGCCGTTGGAGTCCATGCCGATCGGCGTAGCCAGGTATGGGTTGGCATTTTCTGGTCACGGCGAAGCCGCCACCCTACGAGAAGTCGTCGAGATTCAGGCCCTATTTTCGAATGTGACAATCCGCCTGAAAATGAAGGAAACTTTCGGGCGATATTAATAACAAAACTGATATCTAGAGACCATGCATTAAAATTACACTTGGAAAGTATGTCGAAAACAGCTACATATTTGTCCTTCGATGCATAACGAAATTATTGAAATTTGTGGAAATATAATTATTAAAAAAATTATTGCTAAAATTAAAAAAGCTAAATACTTTTCCATTCTGGCAGACGAGTCTACTGATGTAGCAGGAGTTGAGAAGTTTTCATTATGTGTGAGAAACTACAACGAAGACACTCAACAAATTAAAGAGAATTTCTTGAAATTTGTTCCAGTTACCAATTTAACTGAGCACGGTTTATCTGAAGTAATTTAAAAAAGTTAAGTGACCTGAATATTGACTGTAGATATATGGTCGGGCAAGGCTACGATGGAGCCGCTGCTATGAGTGGACAGTTTCGTGGTGTTCAATCTTGCATCAGAAAACAGATCCCTTCTGCGATTTTTGTGCTCTGTTCATCACATTCGCTTAATTTAGCAATATCAGATGCTTGTAATGTAGCACAAATAAGAAACAGACTGGGACCATCAGAAAAATGTGATTTTTTTTAAAAGTCCCAAGAGACAAAACGTCTTCAAATCGCAATTGGAATCATTGCCAGTAAAACAATACTAAAAAGGAAAAGTTAAAGCAACTGTGTAGTACACGATGGGTAGAACGTTACGATTCGGTGTTGACATTTTTAGAACTCCAGGAAGTAACAGTAGCTGCCATAGCACATATTGTAACTTGGCCAGACAAATTTACATCAAGTGACGGATTTTCTTTTTTGAAAGCCACTCGAATTCTACAAATTTTAACAACAATAATGGCAATAAGCCACCCGCTATCAAAGATTTTACAAACTGTAGACATGGACTTGGGATGTGCAATGGATTTGGCAAATGCTTGTCTCCGGGATTTTCAAGGATTGGAGAAAATAGAGATAGTGAATTTCATAAAATATTTCTTAAAATCCAAGATACTTGTGAAAAGTTAGATGTGGAGGTAATTGTACCACGGATCGTGTCACGTCAATTACAACGATCTAATTTACCTTCTTCTTGGCCAGAAGAATACTATAGAAAAAACATATGTAATGTAATTATTTTTTTTTTTTTTTATTGATGTAACTCTATTGTACACCGTAAATGCAAAATAAACTATTATTATTATTATTATTATTATTATATTATATTTATTCCTTCATATTGCATTTACAGGAAAGAGTCCTAAAACATGACGTTATTTTAAAAAGTTTTAGTGTACTATTTGCATCCCAACATTCTTCACTCGATGAAGGAAGCTCAAGAAAATTATATTGTGCACATGAAAATATGTTGGAAGCGTACAGTTTTGATATTTTTTTTTTTGGGAGAAGTTAAGTTGTGGCATAGGTTACTGAGTGAACTTGAAGATCCCCCTAAAGATGCCCACAGCGGATTGATATACTTGCAAACAAAACAAAAATTGTCCGTTTTTCCGAATATAATTTCGTTACTAAAAATATATGTCACTATCCCTGTAACTACAGCTTCTAATGAGTGATCGTTTTCAACATTAAGACGCCTGAAAACATATTTGAGCAATAGTATGGGAGAAGAGCGGTTAAATGGGTTGGCTGTATTAAATATATAAAAAGACATTAATTTATCGACAACTCAAGTCCTTTATGAACTTTCTAGAAATAAAAGAAAATTACTTTTAAATTAATAATTTTTAAATGCCAAACTGAATTCTACTTTTATTTTTACGATATTTTTTTGTACAGGATGTATTTTTATTTGTTATGTATTGCATTTGTTTGTTTTTATTCACTATTCTATAAAAAATATTTATTTTTATTTACTTTTTTTTTTTAATAAAAATAATATTAACTGAAATATGTTATGGAACCCCCCATGATAAATTTCTGGCTACGCCACTGGTCCCACTATAAAGTAATACATTTTAACAGATTATAACTCGAGAATAGAAAAAGATATCAACGTGCAGTTTTCGCTAAACTTCTTACATTTGCTTCAAGTTTTTGTTGACATAGTTGCCAAATGTATATTTTTTCCTAAATGGCCAGAAAAAAAAATTGTCCTTTTTAAAACAGATTATCGGTTTACTTTAAAGAGCACCCTATATTTTTCATACCAAAGTCCCTTTTTTCATCTTCTCAAAAATTGATACAATGTGATTAATTAAATAATTAAAAAGGTTTGGGCGAGATATTTTTTTATGAATCTACTACAAAAACATGTAATTATATGATTGTTGGAATTTTCTGTTACATTTTTTCATTTTATAGGTGTATTTTCTGGGTTACCTCAAATAAAAAGTGATCTGGTACTCTTATAATTAACTGTGTCCTTTTTCCAAAGCCGCCTGACGCTAGGAAACCCACTGCTCCCAACAGATATTTTGCTAGTGGTATTGCCAAGTGATATAAAAATATAGAGTTTGCATAATTTCTATATAGTAGGCATTCCAACGACCTGACAAACAATAGCTGCCAGTGGGAAGGGCTCACAAATCTAAGGGTGTAACGTCATAGCCTACCATCTTGGATGCTATTTATATTTGAAATAGTAGTCGCCAAGGCTGCCAATTTATCGAAAATGTATACGCGGTTTTTTTTTAAATAAGTATTTTTGTTGTGTTAAGACAAAATATTTAAATTTAATCCATTATTTATGAATCCACGTATTGTAGATAGACTACATTGTGTATGTCGCAACTAAAGCAAACATTAGCACCACGTTTAATTTGTTTGGAAAGCCTAAATGCAAATGAGGCCGAACCAGATACTTTTTAAATGTAGCAACTATCAGTTCGAATTTAAAGTAACGATAAATGCTGCAATTTTATTATTGTCTCTCATATAAATATAATAAAATTAATTTTAACATTTTAGTTACTTTTGGTATTGAAAATACTTGTCTCACCTGCTATACTATTCCTTTGAGATCCCGAATCTTTGTAGGAAGATCTCCGCATAGCGACTTCGTCTCTAGGTTTATGTCCATGCAAACTCCCTCCACTACCTAAAACGCTGCGCTTAAAAGGTTCCTGTTGATGCGGAACAGACTCTTCATTACTGTTATCAGTATTGTTACCATTTGATTCACCTCCTGATCCTTCGTTCATGAGGGTAAGTTGGGATTGCGTAAGTCTTGTAGTATCTTCATGCCAGGAACGTCGGTTCTAAAATATCACAAGAAAATACATGATAAAAAAAACACTGATGACTATGACAGTATATTCGTGCTACATAAAAAATATTTTCAAAAGGTCAGAATATTGAGAAAATAGTTAATTTTTGAGAAAATAATGTCGATACCCTCAGCCAATAGTCAAATATCTTGAGGTGCACCTTGAGGGCAAAGTCAATTTTAAACACCATCCAAACGGACAAAATCAAGAGCTTTCCAATTTAGGTAATTAACTTTCAAAGACGAATAAAATATTAAAACCGGCATGCTTCCATCATATATAAATATATTTGGAATACGAATATCCCATATATATTTACATTGTCGAAACTCCACTATTCGCTTCCTTAAAGTCGTAGAAACTTCAGGCAAAAGAATAATTTTAAAAATTCGTCATCAAAACAACCCTTTGATTTTTTTTAACTTTGACTATTATTTCAAAATATTGATTTTTTAAAACAAGGTTATTTCTTTATGGAAACAATACGACGTCGTTGATTACAATTTCAAAATAGTACATTCTATGATTAAGACTCAAACTTTTATCTTTCCTTTTTTTTAAATGTTGGTTTTTTCTCTCAAATTTATATCATTTTCTCAAAATTTTGACTTTATTCTCTCCAATTTTTGACTATTTTAAAATAAAGTTTTTTTTTGTGGCTGCGGCACAAAGTAATGGAAGACAATTTCAAAATGGTACAAAATTTTAATTTTTTTTTAAAGAAAAATTAGTTGTTTGCGGCGCCAATATGACGTCGTAGAAGATAATTTCTAAATGTCTTTTGTTTTCCAAAAATGTTGATCTTATATTCTCAGTTTTGACTTTTTTCACCAATTTTGAATTTTTTTTAAAACAAAGTATTTTTTTGTGGCAAAAATAAGACGTCGTAGATGACAATTGCAGAATGGTACATTCTATGAAGACGGGTCAAACTTTTGACTTTCGTTTCTTCAAAATTTTTACTGTTTCTTCAAATTTAAGACTTTTTTCTCAATTTTTTTTTAAGTAAAATTAGTTTTATGTGGCATGAATATGACGTCGTAGATGATAATTTCGAAATATCTTTTGTTTTTCAATAACGTTGACCTCATCTTCTCAGTTTTGACATTTTCCATAAAATTTTGACTTTCTTAAAGTTATTTTTTGTGGCAACAATAGGACGCCGTAGATGACAATTTCCGAATGGTACATTCTATGAAGAAGACTCAAACTTTTCACATTCGTTTTCTCAAAATTTTGACTATTATCTCAAAATTTTGACTTTTCTCTCGAAATTTTTATTTTTTAAATAAAAATTATTTTTATGTGACACCAATATGACATAATTATTGACAATTTCGAAATGACTTTCATTTCCCAAAATTTTGAGATCTTCTTTTTATTAACTAAACAATTTTAATAGCATTTTTATTTATAAATTATAATTTTTGATACTCATATATCTTATTTTTAGTGTACATTTTTCCTCAAAATTTTGACTGTTTGAAAACAAAGTTATTTTTTGTGTCAACATTACGACTTCGTAGATGACAATTTCAGAATGGTACATTCTATGAAGAAGACTCAAACTTTTGATATTCGTTTTCTCAAAATTTTGACTATTATCTCAACATTTTTAATTTTTGAAATAAAATTATTTTTATGCGGCATTAATACGTCGTCGTAGATGACAATTTCGAAATTACTTTTGTTTTTCCAAAATTTTGGCATTTTTAAAATAAAGTTATTTCTTTGTGGAAACAACACGACGTCGTAGATGAAAATTTCGTAATAGTACATTCTATGAATATATTACAATATGGAATATAAAAAGGTTTATAATTTAACGACACTCACAAACAATAAATTACTAAAACGAAATGTAACTATTCAAATTATTAAACCTACCTTACTAGGAACCTTATTGATTATATCAGAACCAGCTTTTCTGACTCTTCTCACTAAAGTAGCACCGAATCCTTTTCTATATACAAAAAATAAAAACATTTTAGATAACATTAAAATTATTCCAGATTAATATTTACAACAGTTATTAGTTTTTATTATTCAAACTCTGTCGTCTTGAGAAAAAACAATTGAAATTGATTTTATCTCGATTCTTATTGGCCAAAGAAAAAAATGCGCAAACAGAAAATGAAGAGTTTAAAATTAGGAAAATGTTTTGTCCCAGGCCCAACTCTCAAAAAATCAGTTTTTACGGATTTTAGGAAGACAATGATGATGATTCTTTTTTATCACCAAAATATACTATCCAGCTTACTTTTTAGAAGAAGCATTATCCAATTTCTTATAATGCTCCATGATTTTTTCTTCCAGTTTCTCCTTTTGCCTGCACAAATTATTAACTTTGTCTGTATACAGTTTTTCTTCGATATGATAATGTTCCTTATCTTCCAATGAATGAGTCAACAGAGAATGATATTGGGATAATAACTGCGAAACGTGATCCATCAGTGCACGTCTATCCGAGTCCAAAGAGTGGTTCATCTCAAATAACATCTAAAAAGGGTAATTATTAAAACAAATAAGAAGGTAAAGTGATAGAAATACCCCAAGTCCTATTGCATTTTTTGCAATTACAGTTTGCACGTGTCTTCTTATTTCAGTTGCGCTTTGTTGTTGCTTAAACTATATTAAGGTGCGTTTACATGAATACAAGAAGTCGCTTTGAAAAAATTAAGAATTTGTTTTACATTTTGTCTACAAATACTAAAACAATTTACTTTTGTGCTTTATAAATAAAGTTCCCAGCTGAACATTGGTTTTTAGCGTTTTTAGAGTTTTTAAAGATAATCCAAAACAGGTGCAAATTCGTGAAACAGATTCTTTGTTAAAAAAATATATTATAATAAAAGGCACAGAAAATATTTGTAAAATAACTCATATAATTTTTTTTAATCAATATCATTTTATTCACAACTGGACTCTGACTCAGACTCATCATTACTTGCCATTATACCGAAATTAATAATAATTGGTTCTAGATCAGAAACATTTAATTGCTTGTATTTTTCTCAATCGGAAAAAATTATGTTTTTAGTGTGTCTTACAAAATTGTCCCACTAATTATCGGTAACATTATTCAAAGCTTCTGACCAAGTCTGAAATACATCTTCTAGTGATGACTTTTTTGTTAAAAATTTTTCCACATAAAACCATTTGCACTGTGACCACAACTATCTCTATCGCATGTGTTGGCAGTGATATGGAAGAATTTTTAATATGTTATGCCCATATTCTTTGACCTATCTATCTAGGTGAAATTCTTTTCATGGTAGATTTTGACATACAACTTCCCAAATCTGATATTTCATACCATTGATTCGATAATTAATGTTCTCTTCCTGCAACCATTTTACCATGTTATCTTTTGTCCAACTATAACATGGAATTGGTTCCACTTACCACGAATGATAACTAGCATTATCGATTATAATCAAAGAAGGATGTTCCAGACTAGGTATAAATTTAGTCTTAAACCACTTTTCAAAATTTTCTGAGTTCCTATTATTATGGTAATCCTATTATTATGGTAATCCCTGCTTTTTGTTTGACTTTTAAATATGAGGACTGTATTTTTTATAAACTCTTCTTCATTGTCACCATGGACAATTATGTATCGAATTGCATCTCCTGTTTTTTACTTGCAGTAGACTTCCCTTGCTATATACCCACGTCTTATCCATAAATACAGGTTTAAAGTTACCCAGCTATATCTCCTTGTTAAAATTGTTCAAAAACGACATTTTTAAAATGTATTGATGTTTGTTCCAATAAAAATTATCTGTTGTTACTTTTTTTAAAGCGAAAGCCAATTTTTTGAATACCTGTATTAATTGACCATGCAGAACATTTCATATCAGGCAGTTCTTCCGAAAATCGTTTATTTAACGATTTCATTATTACATGTTACGCACCTTCGTACATCTTATATACAACTTGCCTCAACTTAGTTAATATTAAAGAAATGACTTTTGTTTTACTTTGGTTTACTTTTTTAGACATTATTTTCACATACTCTGCATCAGAATTTGTTGGTTTACTAAATCCATAGATGGTTTTCTGCGAAATATTTAATGCCTCTGCAGCCATTTGATTGTACGTCTTTCCAAGAGCCTCGCAAATGGATTTGCGTCTCTTAAAATAGGAAACTACGTTTAGGATTAAAGTTTTTGATTATCACTAAATCTACTAACTTTTTGTTTCATTCATTTTACATTTAAACAATAAAGAAAGCGAATGGATTTGGGGTATTTCCAAAACTTTATGATATTTATGATTTAGAACTAAAAAAACTGTTTCAAATTTTAAATAAATAAAACACCTTATATAATATTAATACATACATCACATTTTTGTTGCAATTTGGCATTCTCCAATTGCAAACTCGCCATTTTATACGATCTTAAATTCAGTTCTCCTTGCATTTCAGTTCGGCCCAATCTTAAGTTTCTGGATTCTGTTCTTAAACTTTTCAATTCATCTTGAACAGCCTTATATTCTTGTTTCAATCGCTCGCTGGCGGTAAACAGATTTCTAAAGTCATCCTAAAAATAAAAATAGGATTTGTGTACAAGAAAGAAATAAAGGTAAGAATGAAACAAGTAGATACTGAAAAGAAAACAAAATAAAAGAAAAAGAAGGAAAATGAGGAAAAATTAAAGAAAATATAATAAAATATAACGTAAAAATGAAGTAAAATGAAAGAAAAATAAAACAAAAATGAAAACAAATGTAAGGAAAATAAAAGAAAAAAAAATAAGTAAAATGAAGAAAAGTGAAAGAAGATAAAAGAAAACGAAAGAAAACGAAAGAAAACGAAAGAAAACGAAAAATGAATAAATTTGAAAGGAAATAAAGAAAAATTTATGGAATAGAAGGAAAAATTAAGGAAAATAAGAGAAAAAAGAAAATGAAGGAGAACGACAGAAAACGAAGAAGAATGACAGAAAATGAAAAATAAATTAAGCAAAATTAAAGAAAACGAAAGCAACTGAAAGAAAATGAATGATTATGAATAAAAAAAAAAAAAAAAAAAGAAAAAATATAAGAACATAAAAAAGACTGAAGTAAAATGAAAGAAAATGAAGGAAAATGAAAAATAAAAGCAACTGCACAAAAATTAAAGAAAATGAAGTGAAATAAAATAAAACAAAACGAGAGAGAAAATGAAAAATAAATAAAATGAAAAATAAAAGCAAACGAATGAAAATGAAAAAAATGAAAAATAAAAGAATACGAATGAAAATAAAAAATTAATAAAATTGAAAGAAAATGAAGAAAAATTGATGAAATGAAGGAAAATGGAAAGAAACAAAATGAAAGAAAACAAAAAAATTAAAAAACTATAGAACGTTAAAGAAAATGAAGAAAAATTAAGGAAATAAGGAAAATGACATGAAATAAAATGAAAGAAAATGAAAAATCGAAAAAATTAAAAAATGAAGGAAAATGGGAGGCAATGTAGGAAAAATAATAAAATTGAAGAAAGATGAAACAAAATGATGAAATAAAAGAAGATGAAAGAAAATAAAAGAGAATAAAACAAAATAAAAAAAAAATGAAAGAAAAGGAGAAAAATGAAGGAAACCGAATACAAATAAAGGAGAATGAAAGAAAATAAAAGCAAATGAAAGTGAAAAACGAAGGAAAAATTAAAGAAAATGAAAGAACATGAAAGACAGTAAAAAAATGAAAGAACATGAAAGACATTGAAAAAATGTAGGAAAAGTACGAAATAGGAAAAGAAAATAAAAGAAATCGAAAAAAAAAATAAAGGAAAATGAAAGAAATTAAAGATGAAAAAAAAAAATTAAAGAAAATGAAAAATAAAAGAAAAACAATAAAATGAAGAAAATGAAAAATAAATAAAAAGCAGAAAAGCGAAGAAAGAAAAGCAATAAAAGCAGAAATAAAACTTAAACGAAAAAAAACTACTTAAAAATGCTTACTTTTAATTTCGAATGTTCAGCTCTTAAATTCCCCAAACTCTTCGCGTCGGTTTTTAAAACCTCCTTTTCAGACTCGATGTCTATTATCTTGCTCTCCAAATTGCCGTTATTTTCTTTGAGTGTTCTAATTTCCGATCTCAAATCTCTGGCGGTCTTTTTTAAATTTTCTTGCTCCTGTTTGGCTTCTTCGTATTCCAAACTCAATTGTTCGTGCAGAGTCCGAAGAGTTACTTGGTCCAAGAGCAGGGTGTCGTGTTGTGTGTTTTGAATTTGTTGTTTTTTATATAACTACAAAAAAATTAAATAACTTATAATTGATTTATAATTCTTATATTCTACTTATATTTTACTTATATTCTAGATACCTACATTCTACTTATATTCCACTTATATTTTACATATATTCTAATCATATTTTACTTTTCTTCCTTATAATCTAATTATATATTACTTATATTCTACTTATAATCTATATGTTTTTCACAAGTTATAAACTTCTTACCTCTTCTTTTTCAGCTACTAACTGACTATTAGCCAATTGAAGTGCAGTTTGCTGAGTTTGTAACGAACTAATCTGAGATTTAAGGGTCGACACATTGACCTTTAGGGTCGCGTTTTCGTTTTGAAGAACGTCGTTCGAATTTTGTAAACAAGAAAGGTCATTTAATATTTTTTCGCATTGGTTGTTTCTGTCTTCTGTTACGTTCTCTTTGACTGTATCTGTATCACACAGGCGATCTTTTACCATAGGACCTGGATAGATAAAGAAAATCTTTGAAATTGTGCAATGATTGAAATAATCAATACAATTGTCAAACATCAAAGGTGCAATATAGGGAAATTGAGCTAAAAGGCACTTAATAGTTATTTATGCAACAAGTGCAAAAAGTAAGTGCAATAAACACTTTTTGCACGAGTTGCACACAATATTTTTTCTACGTTCATGCAAAAACCAAAAAATGTTTTATAGAACTGCATTTGTATTATCCAAATCATAGTAGCCGTGATCGTGTACCTTTGTTTAAGGCATTTATTTACGTTTGTGTTCATAACTTATGACATTTTTAATAAAATACATTTTTTTATTAATTTATTTATTAAATGATTGAAAATAATATAAAATATGCAATTGTTTTTAAAACGTAACACAGAAAATGAAATAGACTAAATATTTGGCGTTGATTTAAATATTTATGTTTGTCATGATCATAAAACGCTGTAGTAAAATGACAGATGAGTGCAATAAAATTTTTATTGCACTAGTGCAATAAAAAACCAATTTTTTCACTAAATATAGTTTTGTTTTTTGCATGAACGTAGAAAAAATAATTTTATTGTCTGTCTTTGATTTATTATTAAAAGTACAAAACACTAACAAAGAACACTTACCAATTATTTTCAATATTTCGCTATTATCAATAATTTTCTCTACGACAATGGAAACATCGCTATCTAAAATATCGACACTCAAACCCAATTTGTCTAAATTGTTTTTCAATTTCTCGCTAGTGACTTTCGCATTAACGAGATCTTTTTGTAAAGTCGAAATAGTTTCGGAGTCTATTGAAGATTGACAAATCAACTCCTGCGCTTTTATCCCAAATTCCTGGAACTTTTCGATTTGTGTAGTTAAATTTTTGTTTTCCGTCGTTAGTCTTTTAATATCGTTTTCTTGCTTCGTTATTCGTTCTAAATGGTTGTCCAAAACGACATGTTTAGCCTGAAAAGAATAATTTAAAAAATACTATCTTTTGCTTTGGTATATAATATTCTAATTTTTGCGTAAATTTTTAAGAACCGGCAACAACGCTGTATCTATTGGATCATCCAAAGTTGTTAATAAATAAATAACAAATCCGGAAGAAAGAATTGGGCAATTGGAAAAGTACTGAAGACGAAGAAAGTGATGAGGAGGTTAAAAATAAAAAGGTGGAGGAAACTTGGCTGCTTGCTTGGTTGTAACGAATCAAAAATATGAGTTGATTAAAACCACCTTGGTAGGCTCTATTTACTTTTTTGTTTCATTTATATATTTATTTTTTCATTTTACATTACAATAAAAAATATACTTGGAAGAAAAAGAAAACAAGGATTGGCGAAGTAATACAAAAAGTTATAAAAAAAATAAAGAAAAACCTGTAAAAAGATTTATAATTATATATTAAAACATACCTCCAAAACTTCTTTGAGTTTTATGATCTCCTTGGTCATATTTGCATTTTCTTTCTCTAAAGTTTCTTCTTTGTTCTTCATAGTATTGCTGGACTTTTCGAAATCTTTCCATTTTTCTGACTCGGTCTGTAGATTGAGCAGCTGTTCCGAGACATCAGAAATTGTTTTTTCCGCATCGTCGGCTCTTTTTTTGATGGTATCGCATAAAAGTTGAACTCTTTGTTTTTCTTTGGTTATGTGTTCGATGCTGTTTTCCATTTCGGTAATGCGCAGTCGTTCGTTGCTTAATTCTGTATTTTGTCTATCGGATATGACCTAAAATGTTTACTCTATCAAGAATCGAACAGTGTTTCAAAAAAACGGGGCTTCTTTGTGTATAAAAACTATGTGTAGATCAAAAGTTAAAATTTTTTGGCCAAATTAACGATAAGGGTCTAACGTAGGTCGCCTTGCTAATGAAAATTGAAAAATGTATTTTTTAACCTCAATTTCAAACAAGTAAGATAAATAAATAGTAAGTCGATCCAAGTCTAACCTTTACCTAGGATTTGGTTCACTCTGGACATGGAAATATTGCATATTATCTGAAATCAGTCGATTTGAAATTTGTGTAATTTTCTTTGAAATACCATGTCGTATCGAATAAAAGTGCTATTTTGGACTAAAAATGGCTCATATGGATTCCATATTTTTTCAATCAGTTCATCATACTGTAAATCAAGAACAATTTTCGACTATTGTCTATTTAAATACAATGTTTTAACTAAATATGTGTGGGGAGATGATACTGCTGTTTATATATTTTAATTACATTTTATTTATCATAATATAACCCCTACAGTTAGGCAATCCGTTTATCTTTCCTCTATTTATTTTGTACTATTTTGAAACTGAGACAATTTGGTGTTTAAAAGATTATCCAATCATTGTTAAAGTCATTTTTAATCGATCGCCAATTATACGTTGAATACGATGGTGCCAAATCTTTTAATATCAGGGATTCCTCAGGGCCTTAGGCCAATCTTTTACCGTTTCAAAGTGGCAGAAGAAAAAGGGGGACGTGGAGAGAGAAGTGTGAGCGAATAAGATTTTTCTTGTATCCAGGCCCTCTATCTATATCAAAGGTATTATACATTATACATTACACATACATTATACATATTTTTAAAAGTCAAATTTTGAAAAAAGAAAATAAAATCATAACGTAACCTATATATACAAAAATGCTTGGCTGTCATTGTCGAAGAAAAAGAAAAACGTCCTTGAAACCAATAGATTTTTTACTTTATTTTCTCAACTTTGTTTCTTTTAAATAAAATTTGGTCTTTGTAACACCAATACCAGTTAATAATGTGACAGGTACTTGCAGATCTTTCGTTTCCTCTTTTTTATTATTACAAAATTGTTTTACTGAAATTTTAACTTTCATCTTAAAATTTTGGACATTATTTTCTCAATTTTTTTACTTGATTCTCTTAAAACTGACGTTTTCTCAATACTTTTACTACTTCTCAAAATTTGGTACTCAAAATTTTGACTTTTTGTTTCTTAAATTGATTTTATTTTCTCAAAATGTTAGAACTTATTTTCTCAAAGTTTGATATTATTCTCTTAAAACGGACGTTTTCTCAATATCTTTTACCATTTCTCAAAATTTTTTACTTTATTTTCTTAAATCTTTGACTTCTCAGAATTTAAACGTTGTTTCTCAAAATTTTTACTTTTTGTTTCTTAAAGTTATGATTTTATTTTTGCAAATTCAAAATTTTAATTTTAAGGTCAAAAATTTGACTTTTTTCTCTTAAACTACCGATTTTTAAAAATTTTAACTAATTTCTGTTTTGATTTTATTTTCTCTTAATTTTGACATTATTTTCTCAAAATGTTGACTCTATTCTCTTAAACCTGACGTTTTCTCAATATTTTTACATTTTCTTAAAATTTTAAGTTTATATCACAAACTTTTGACTTTTTCTTTTCAAAGTTTTGATTTTATTTTTTTTTATTTTTTACACTATTTTATCTATATTTTAACGGTTTCTAAAATTTTGATGTTTTTTCAGCAAATTTTTACTTTATTCTCTTAAAATTTCTGAAAACTGTTTTCTTAATATTTATACTTTTTCTTAAAACTTTGATTTTGTTCCACAATTTTTTTTTTTTCAGAATTTAAAATTTTTCTAAAAAAAAAAATTTTGACTTTTTTTTCTAAAAATGTACTTTGTTAAAATTTAAACATTATTTTCTCAAAATAATGACTTTCTCACAGCTTTGACTTTTTTTAGTGACACCAAAATTGTTACCAATAAACATGTATAATTTTTCAAAATAACCCACTATTATGTAACCACACTTACTTATCATTAAAATTACATTTTAATCTAAAAATCATTGACATTAAGGATATTATTGTTTTTTAGACAAAACGTCGTGATATACCACTGAATTAATAGGTTTGTTCCAACATCGCCTTTCTGATGTGTCTCTGACTCGTGCATAGATGCATTCGTAAACTAATCACTGCACATGTCAGTCCGTTTATTCGTCCGTTGTTTAATCAGCGACTTGTCCTTGTTGGAACGCAAAATGCAATGGAATTTGACAAACCAAACATATGTTTCGTCAATTGGTATTTTAAAATTATTTAAAATACAACAACATACATTTATTTAGCTGTCTCGAACGCTCTATGTGAATGTATAATTTTGAAACATTAAGATTGTTTATTTTTATTAAAAATAAGTACGCATTTTACAAAAAAAATCCGCACACAAGATAAGAACAAAAATTATTCATTTCAATTAAAAGCAATAGAAACCCAAGCTAACTTAAAATCCCAACAATTACAAAAAAATATCACGAACGAGAAGAGACGTTCAAATACGCATGTGCTGATAAATTGTACAAGCGATGAAGCTCTGACTGTTTTGACAATCCGCCGACTCATTCATGTACGAATCAGAAAATACGTTGGAACGTTTTACTGACAGTTCATCGGATCATCCGTGGCTCTGTAGGAACGGACTATTTTCAATGCGCATGCGTCTGACGTCCTTCTGATTATCAGATTCGCTGTTGGAACAAACCTATTATTTTAACAGTTTAGCAATTTTTTGTTATAAGACAGGATAGTATTAAAAAAAATAATGTGATATTGGCCACGAACGAAACGTCACATCAAAAATTTAATGGTTACTAAATAAACTTTTCACATTCCATTTTTTGATATATTTGTTAAATAAAATTTCTTTGTAAAAAAAAAAACAAATATGGGTATTTTTGAATTTAAGTGTACAACTCGAGAATAACAATAGACCCATCCTGTAGATTTTTTCGACCACTTTAATAGTCTTCATATCTGTTCCGGTTTAGAATGTAGCAATGTTGGTACATGATAACAAAAAAATAACCTGCATACAGGACTTAATTTGAATTTTATACATTACCTTTTGAGTGTCCAAAGAATCCTGCAATTTCCTCGTTTCCTGTATGGCGTTCTTAAATAAATTCTCCAACTCGATATTTTGTTGCGTCAATCTTTTAAATTTGTCTTCTAACTTTTCGCATCGTATCGATAACTTTTTCTTGTCCTTCTCCAATTCCAGTATCTTGCTAGCGCTCTCTATAAAACTGTTTTCTTTTAAAGCATCGATGGCGGATAATAAACGTTTATTTTCCAATTCCAATTTCAAAGCACGCGCCTGCGCGTTGCTCGTCAGTTGCTCGGAAAGACTGTTATCCCCGGAGTTCGATTCCTCTAAGTCCGATTCCATGGAGGTGTTCGGAAAATTGGATTCTTGCAGAGCGGATTTCGTCAGTTGTTGGAGCTGAAGATTTTCGTCTAAAAGTTCTTGGATTCGTTCTTTTGCTGCATCTCTTTCCTAAAAGGTACAAAGTAACAGTAGAAACAGGTTAACAGAATTGAAAGAAAATTCAATTACCAGTAAAATATCATTAATAGCTTGCTTGGCGCCCAATAATTCAGCTTCCAAGTCCAGCACATGATCCCCTCTTTGTCTTGCCCTTGCCAATTGAGTCTCGAGCATTTCTCTAGTATCTAGAAGGACTTTGTTATCGTCTCGCAATTCGTCTACTCTAATTTTGTAAAATTCGGCATCGGCAAGTCGTTCTCTGTACCTCTGGACTTCTATTTCTAGTCTGTCTGCTCTTTCTACCTTTTCTCTCATTGAATCGACTTCGTCTCTATACGATTTTGCCCTTCTCGCTTCTGTTAGCAAGTCAGTGTTCTACAAAACGAATAACTTAATAATAATCAAACTTTATATTTAACTTAAATAACCATTGAACCTATCTTACACCCGAGAACAACAACAGAGAAGCGACCAAGTCGTTCCCGCAAATCTCTTAATCCTCGTCTTACAACTGTTGGGTTGGCTACAACGGATGAACAAATACTAGACTAATATTGTTTACAAAAAACGAATTGCATACATTCACGGTGTCATCCACGTAGTTGACAAATTATTATGAGATAGTATGGAAGAGTATTGTTACAAGAATTGTTTATGGTTATAATTCGGCATTAACTAAAGGTAAGACTCAAAAGGCTTTCAAAATTACATTAGGAAAGTATATTTGCATTCTTAATGCCAGATATTATCAGTTTAATATATTTTTCTAGTTGCAACTATTATAGTTGTATAGTATGTTTATAAGGAAAGTATGAAATTAATTTTAAACTGACAGCAATGTAAAGCAAGCGTGGTAGACGTAATTCATTCATAAAACGCATGCTCGCTCCTCAAATAAACGTACTCGCATTCAAATTAGCAGCTTCTTTCTAATACGGCAGCCGATGCGACAGCTCTGTCTGCGTAATAATAAACACAATCTTTTGGAGTTGAGAAGAAATGTGTAAAGCATTCATGATAAGATGTTTGAGTAAAAGGTGATATCTTTACCTCAGAAATAGTCTAAAGCAGTGTTTCACAAAATGTGCACCGCGGAGCCCTGGGGCTCCGCAAAGCCTCTGTAGGGGCTCCGCGAAAATATTGGTCATAATAAAAGAAATACTAAAGGAGTACTATGAGGAAGTTTGGCACAAAAAAAACCTGGTTTGAGGACCTTTTTTTAGATTTCACTAAGAAAGGATCTGATTTTGCTCGGACTTTTTTTTTGAAATGCCCCAGGGTTGCAAAGCAAAATAAACCTAATATCTAAACCAATAAAAAGTTTAAAAAATCAATTTTTATTATTTTAGGGCTCCGTCAAATATTTCGCTTTTCAAAAGGGTTCCATGGCCAAAAAAGTTTGAGAAACGCTGATCTAAAGTATCCCTTGCTGGGATTTCAACTTTACAAAAATGCGCTACTAAAGTTATTGTTAAGACATGGTCTTTTGGATGATTTATTAAGCTATTGCATAGATTTTATCGCGGGCTTTGAGCGCGGAGACCGAATCAAGAAATTCCGTAACGAAAATAAACCTAACACCCTCGAAAAATCTAAAAATCGAAAAAGAAATTCCGTCACGAAAATAAACCTAACACCCCCACTCCGACCGGCACAGCGGTGCGGCGTTGAAAGCCGTACATCGTCTAACGTCGTTTCAGTTCGGCAGACTTCGGCACGGTGGTTGTGTGCGTGCGACTAGACGTATGCGTGTAGACTAGCTGCTAACTGCTCATAACTGATTCTATCTCTTTTAGACACAATTTCGGAAAAATTTAATTTGAAAATGAATAATGATCCACAAGAATCCACAACAAAATATGGGACCACCATTGACGCGGTATTTTCCAGATATTTATGTTTCTTATTTCAGTTACCATAAACCTATAGTTTCAATGATAAAAATTCCTGAATAACCTACATGTACTGTAAGATAATAAAAAAATTTTAAACAATATTAACTTCTCATTTATTCAATAAAAGAAAAAAAAATGTTTTCTTATCGGTCACGACGCTCAAAAAGTGTAACTTGAATTAATATCAAAGAAAAAAAAAATACTGCATAAATAAAATAAATAATTATAATTGCAAGTTGATAAAAAATGCTATGCAATAGCTTTACCGCGGCAGTCCCCGAGTGCCACACGTATTTTTTAAATACTCCAAGTATATGTAATGATAAATCTCCTGTGTATTGTATGTATATAAACAATAGATGAAACTGTTTTTCTCTAATTTGGTTCCTATATTTATAAATTATTATAATAAAACTGGGTGGTTGTTGTTTATTGTTTTAAGTAAATTTCATACATCAAATAACTAGAAACTGATAAAATATATTTTTTATTTCGTATATAAATATACATTGTATGTTTCTTATGAAGTCCAAGAGGAGGCCCTTGTTTTCTTCTACAAAATTATTTGTAACCACTTTTTACTAAAAACATCCTGTAACAAACCCTTTTTTCAATAATGTAGGTTCTTATAGTAAAGTCCTTTGACCTTTCTTTCTCTTCGTTGTGTTTAATGCTTGTAAGAAATCATCTCGTCTGCTTTTAAATGTAATTAATTTAATAACAGTGAATGATATTTGCAGAATATTGATATAAAATATTACCATTAGCCTTTAATTTCAGTTAAGGATCAGTCCCTTTATTTCTTCTAACCATTTTTGTGTGCAAAAAGTAAAAATTGGTTGGCAACAGCAACTACGGCTCGGTGCTCGCTCCAGGCTTGCCAAAATTTCAAAATATTTTTGGATATAAACAAAGTGTGATCCGAATTCAGCTCGGAGGTCGTACCCTAATCCAAAATGTTTAAAATAAACCATTCACACAATATTTCTCTTCATAATTCAAATAAAAAGTAATTTATTTGAAATTTAATGGAAATCATTACATGATTTTTCCTTGCTGTTTTGTAGCTCGTCTTTCAAAAAATCAAACTACCAATATTATAAAAATATACATATAAAATATTAGATTTTTTTCATTACGTGTTGATTTATTAATGTTTAAAAATAACAAAATATCACAAATAGGCAAGCAACTAAACTAACAGTGACCTTATCTAATGGCAAAAAGTTTTACTTCATGTCTGAACCAAAACCGATATCATCAGGGCCCAATTTTAATTCTAAGGATGAGTGCGCTACGTTAATTTCCGTTATTCTGAAACAATAATTAGTCACTCACCACCCCATGACATTTAAATTTTTCGAAAGGGTTGCTCCCCTCCAGTAAGGGATGAAATTAAGGGTAAACTATTCATACAAAAATGTACATTGTAGAAATCAAAAATCGACGTGTCTCGGCGATTTTCCTAACAAGACTCCAGTAACGAGTTAGATAGGGGGGGGGGGTTAAGACTTATGATGCTCACTGTATACATTTTATGCTAAGTAAGGTAAAATATTATTTTCAATTATATCAATATATTTTCTATCAGTGTATAGCATTTATTACGCTCCATTAATTTTTTCTGGGTGTATTATACCGGCCATCCGTCTCATAAGTCAAATTCAAGGTCACAAAATTTTACTCTTTGAATTTCAAAAACCAACAGTTATTGCCGCCTCTCTGTGGTTGTTATTCTCGGCTTAGACGCATATTAGTAAACGAGATAATTAAAATTCATGATAAAATATTACTCATTGCCTAACTTTTAGTTAATTGATAAAAAAAATTCTTTACTTTTGAATTTATAAAAGAATATCTAGGTACCTACTGAGTCACAATAAAACTTACCTCCGTTTTTAATTTTGCCACCAAATTCTTAGCGTGTTCCAACTCTTCTTTACATTCCACTAAAATTTCAGTCTTTTCCTCCCTAAATAAAATATGTATACAGTATTGTGCGAATTGATGTGAACACAAGTGATATTTGAAAGATCTCATTTACTGATAAGTAAAGAAAAAAATAGAAGGGTAATAAAGTTAAATTATTGTTTTAATAGTAAATATGTAATCCCTTGACATTTATAATTTTTTAACACGTTTTGGTACAAATAATCAACAAGTTTTTAAAATTTTTCTGATATTTGTTGGATTATAGACTCAATTAACTTTGTTTCTGTTGTATAATCATTTAACAAAGTCTAGCTTCTGCCATAGCTCACAGATTTTCAATAGGATTTAGATCTGGCGAGTTTCTTGGCCATTTCATCATGACCTGCTACACGTGACATAAGTCGAAACTTGTTGAGTAACTTCTTGACCACTAGCATCAAAGTTTCTTAATTCAGCTTCCAGTTTTAATTCAAGCATGTCTTTATATTTTTAGAGCATTTATCATGCACAAGAGATCCGGTATCTTTATAAGGAAAGAGGTCACAAAATTAGAAAAAGTTGATGCCAATGATGGTCAAGCAGTGTTGCTACAAGATTCTGCTCCATGTCTCGTGTCGAAAATAATGATGAAATATTTCAAGAAGAAAAAATTTCATGCTTTGAATTGCCAAGAAACTCACCGGATTTAAATTCTATTAAAAATCTGTGGGCTATTGTTGAAGCTAGACTTCGTAAAATATACTGTGCAAATAAATACCGTGCTATGCCTACATTGGTTGGTTAATATAAATGTAGTACATTTTTGTTTTCCCTTTTTTGTTAAAATTGTAAGTGAAATACATACCTAACTACCTAATGTTTGTTTAGTACAAGATAATAATGATTTTTATATTTGATTTGATAAGTGAAAAAAAATATATGATCCATTTTTGGGGTGATTTTAAAAATTTAACACAAAATTAAATTTCTTATAATTTGGACTAGAAAGTATTGAGTTTATTTTTCAAATGTATAAAAATTAGTGCACATTTTTACATGTCAAGACAGAATAAATCCCAGCTAGTAAACACACGTGATTTTTTGATCACCTTTGGTACGCCTTGTTACCAAAAATATGACATATTATTCACGTGAAATATGACGCTAGCATGTCACAAACCAGATACGTCATTTGACAGGTGATGTTAAAATGACATGATGCTATTTCGTCAAAATAAAGTTTATATCTCGTCAAGATGAGGATGTCTCGACAAAATATATTGTCAAAATAACGTATTTCATATCTGATAGAAATTATGTTATATCTCATCAAAACAAAATTATAACTCGTCAAAATGACGTTATATCTTGTCAAAACGACTTTACCCAGTCAAAATTACATATTTCCTATCAAAATGAACCATCTCGTCAAATTGACGTTATCTCGTTAAAACGACGTTATATCTCATCTAAACGTTATATATCGTCAAAATGACCTTATATCTCTTCAAAATGAGGATGTACCTCTTCAAAAAAGAAGATATATCTAGTCGACATGACGTTGTATTTCGTCAAAACAACATTATAAATGGTCGAAATGAGATATTTCTTATAAAAATGACGTCTCTTATCCAAATGACGTTATATTTCGTCGAAATAACAGTATCCTTTCAAAATGCAGGATGTACCTCTTCAAAAAGGATTTTATATCTAGTCAACATGGCGTTGTATTTCGTCAAAACAACATTATATATGGTCGAAATGAGATATTTCTTATCAAAATGACGTATATTATCCAAATGACGTTATATTTCGTCGAAATAACAGTATCCTTTTAAAATGACGTTATATCTCTTCAAAATGGGAATATATATATATCTCGAAAGAATGACATATTTTTTGTTAAAATAAAGTATATGGTCAAAATAACGTTATATCTCGTTAAAACAAAATTATAACTCGTCACAATGACGTTATATCTTGTCAAAACGACATTACCCAGTCAAAATTACATATTTCCTATCAAAATGAAACATCTCGTCAAAATTACGTTATCTGGTTAAAACGACGTTATATCTCGTCGAAACGTTATATATCGTCAAAATGATGTTATATCTCTTCAAAATGAAGATGTACCTCTTCAAATAGGAGGATATATCTAGTCGACATGACGTTATATTTCGTCAAAAGAACATTATATATCAGGCCTGAACAACTCAGATTTTCAAAGCGCCAGATTTGAAAAACCGAAAATGTACGAGGGCCGCCAAGAGAGACCTGAGCCTACAATGATCGGTTCAGATTTCAAAAAAAAAAAGGTCGACATCTTTTATTTATAAACCGACTCCTGTTGGTCAAGCTTCTACAAAAAAAAAGTATTCACGTTATAATTCTGCCAAGCTTTCCTAAAAAAAAAAACAAAAAAGGTCGCTAGCTTATAATGTATAACCCATCCTGCTGATTGAGTTCAAAAAAAAGGTCGTCAGCATAAATGCAAGTTTGTTACACTGAAAAATGTAAAAATGTATAATTTGACATACGCGGGCCAAACTAGTCAACGGCCAGAGGGCCGCCAAACGACACTGGCGGGCCGCTTCCGGCCCGCGGGCCGTGTGTTGTGCACCCCTGTTATATATGGTCAAAATGAGATATTGTCAAAATGACGTATCTTATCCAAATTTCATCGAAATAACAGTATCCTTTCAAAATGACGTTATATCTCTTCAAAATGAAAATATATCTCGACAAAATTACATTATATCTGGTCAAAATTACATTTTTTTGTTAAAATGAAGTATCTGGTCAAAATGACATATCTCGTCAAAATAGCTTTCGTTAAAGTGACGTTTTATATTATCTCGTCAAAACATGGGCGGATCCAGAATTTTCTCAAGAAGGGGACAATTGGATGAGTTTGCTGTTTTGTTTAATTAGATTTCAACGACCACAGGTATCAACTACTAGGATTATTTAGGAATATTAGTCTCAAAAGGGGAGGGAAATTTCCAACGTTATATCAAAACAAAATGGTGATATCTTGTCAAAATGGCGTTTGATATCTCATCGAAATTATGTTATATCTCGTCAAAACGACGCCATATCTGATAAAAATTACATATTTCTTATCAAAATGAACGCGTAACTCGTCCAAATGACTTTATATCCCGTCTAATTGCCTCAAAACGTAGTTGTCCAAACGATGTTATATTTCGTCAAAATGACGTTATACCTCGTCAAATTGACGTTATATCTCGTCAAAACAACGTTATATACCGTCAAAACAACGTTATATCTGGTCAAAATGACATATTCCTTGTCAAAATGACGTTGTATCCCGTCTGAACGATTTGTTGTTTAGAGAATCGGCCTCAAAATTTAATTGTCTAAACGATGCATATCTCGTCAAAATGACGTTTGATATGTCGTCAAAACGACGCTATATCTTGTCAAAATGTTTGATGTCATAAAAAATGTTATACCTTAACAACGATATTATATCTCGTTATAATGACATCATATCTGGTCAAAACGACATTATATCTCTTCAAACAGATGTTACATCTCGTCAAAATAGTGTTAGCGCTCGATAAAATGACGTATTATTCTCATCAAAACAGAGGCGGATCCAGAACCTTTATAAGGGGGGAGGTAATTTGATGGGTTTGCTGATTTAATTAATTATATTTCAACAGTCACAGGTATCAACTACTAGGATTATTATCCTCCCCCTTGGATCTGCCAGTGCGTCAAAACGATGTTATATCTCGTCAAATTGGTGTTTGATATTTCGTCAAAATATATATTTCATCAAATAGGTGTTTGATATCTTGTCGAAATGGTATATATCATAACAAGGACGTTATATTTCGTCAAAATAACGTTATATCTCGTCAAAACGATATTACATCTCGTCAAAATAGCATTATATCTCGTCAAAATGACGTTATTACTTGGATAAGTTATTCTAAAAAATAATATTCAATACAATATTATCAATAATTCATAATATATTAATGAAGGTTAACAACAGATAAATACTCCAAATCATTAACAGAAAATTAAAAGAGAAGTACATTTTTTAATTTGCGTTCCAAGAAATAGGCTTGTTTTTAGAATACGGTTTTAGGGTATTGAACCAATCAAAATACAGAAATTTTTTGATCTAGGTAGCTGTGATTTCATATTTGCAGATATATTGATTTCAAAATAAGTTTTTCAAGTAACGTTTTTCTCTATTTTTAAAAATAAGGATACTTTACTTCTGAGCCAAATTTATATTCTTTAATCTCCTTCGAATATAATACAACATTTTTAATATTTGTGACGTTTCTATTAGACTATAGATTATGCATCACTTTTATCAAGAATAACATTTTCTGAGAAATAAATTTTAAAAAAGTAAATTATAATGTTTATATAATGTCCTACAACTTACAATTCTTGCCTCTGCTTTCTCATCTTAGCCTTCCAGTCGGCTAACTCTACAGCCAGGTGATTCGATTCCACCTCTTGAGTATTTAAATTTTGAGTGGAACCTGTAGAATTCGATTCTTGGCCCAAATCCGTTACCCATTGCTGTAAAAACTTATTTCTTTCTTCCGTTAACGATCTAATGTGTGAATACAACTTTTGGGGCTCTTGATCTGCCCAATCTAAAGTGAGAACTATGCTTTGATCATCGGTAACCTACAAAGTGGACTCAGATCAAATTCAAAATGCTCTATTGTCAATAAAAACAAGTTTAAAAAAAACTCCAAAAAAGAATTTGATGATTTTCTCATGGCTCCCTTCATTAGATCTTAATCAAATTTATATGAGATCACCTGTGAGGTTTAACAAAAAAAAGAACCATAGAAATTAGATGTGATAAAGAATTAGGGCTGAATATATTAATTATATAGGGTTGGATTTTTCCTTTTAACATAAGAACTCAAAAAAACTAAGTACATTTTGCATAAAACATTTTTTTAAATGTCAAAAGTAAAGAAAAATAAAACCAAAGTAGTATTATGTATACAATATGTAAATATTCCTCTATAATTCCCCTATAAAACATTGCTAAATATAAGGTCATGGCACTACTTATGGCCACTACCCTACTTATGGCCATCTCTTGTTTTAAGATCTAAAAATAAAGGTTTACCAACAATATAAACAAAAATGGTGGTTAGAGGAGGTAAATGAGCATGTGGTAACATGATTGGGCAGGTTTGCAACTAATAAATGAAGTCCATTGGAAATTAGTAAGAATTTATTTGTAAACATCATAACAAAAATCAGATCTATTAAGTATATTTTCGAAAATTTGCAATTCCAGAGGTAAGTAGATGTTAATACCCATGTATATTGTTTTCGACATCATATATAGATTTTTAAATAAAAATAAATATCAGGATGACCATTAGTAATGACTAAAAATTAACAATTTTTGAGTTATAGTCACATGGGTGGCCAAAAGTAAAATTTCGTGTTTGACTTATGGCCACTGCAGTTATTGTGTGGGTTGAAGGGTAGATAGCAATTGAGTTTTGTAGCTAAGCTTATAAATAAGATTAAATGTCACTGACACCTGACAGCATTGGCAGATTCTCATATATAGAATCAGCAGTGATTATGTATGCAGTTAGGCAAAACATTAAAACCTGGCGATTTTATATTGGTACAATTTAGTGCCTGTGGTAAAAGAAGATCGACCATGTATAAATATGTTGCAACTGTACGTCAAACTATCAAACTATGGAAAATGAAATAGATTATTTTTAAGCAATTTATTAAAAGCTAATTCACCATTATATTTAAGAGAACGGATTACGTATAGGATTGATGCACGTGCTTTAAATTTGCGAAATCGCCATACCATCGCCATGCCACGACATAGAACTGCCATGTTTCAACGGTCATTTAGCTATAATGTCGCTAAAGTATACAATTCACTAAATACACACTTAAAATCATATTTGAGTACTAGTTCATTTAAAATAATGTTAAAATCATATTTTCTTGGTAGCCAAGCAAATGAAAATATTTAATTCATATTCTATTTTATTTATTTTATTTAATTCTTGTTCTTAATTTAAATTTGAATTCATCCGTAGACATTCAGCGTAATGTAGAGTAGGTTAGGTTTAAGTTAGTTTTAGGATTTGTGATATGGTTAAGTTGAATGGCCATTTGGCTAGACTACGCCATTTATACTTTGTAAATGTTGTTTTGCTGGTATAATAAAGATGTTTATTATTATTATTATTATTAAATCTGTTACAATATTATTGAAAAATAGACCTCACAAAAGCATTTTTGCATTAATGTGGCCATAAGTAGTGCCATGACCCTATAGCTACTAAACATAAGTTTCATGAATTTTTACCATATTCAAATAACCATGAATACTCAACAAGGAATGCAAATTTAATCTGAACCCAAAAAAATTCAAAAGTATCATTTTTAAAATCACCAGATTTCAGAAAACCTAAAAAGAAGTTTGACTTTTTAAAAGAAAAATTAAAAACTATTTAACAGTGTCGTTTCTACTATTTATCTGAATACCACCATATTTTAAGGCAAATATTTTTCCATTTGTGTTTTATATTAGGATTTTTTGTATGTTGCTTCCATAAAATTTTGTACTCACCTTTTTTATACAATTTACAATATCATGCTGATCATTCAAAGGCAATTCTTTAATTTTGGAAATAAACACTTCCTTTGTCGGTCCCTGCACAGCACATCCTAATAGCAACAAAATCAAAAGCCTCAATTGGTCTAAGGCTGATTGGGATGCTGGAGTCCTACCTAAGACTACACAATCCGGTACCGAAATAACAATTTGACCCAATTCATCCTCATAAATTGCCATGATATTTTTGATAATGCAATGGAAGATTTTTGTTCGTGCTGCAGTTACACTTAGACCTTGCAGAGTTAACATAGAAGGCACTGGCAGAGATGGCTCTGGATCAATTTGAAGCAGTACTTCATTAATAGGAGCCCCATCAAAAAATGATTCATACACTTGTAGAGCTTCAGGTTTTCTCATACAAGTACATAACTAAAACAAAATTGAACATTGTTTATTATATTGTTAAAACATACATATATACATTAGCGAAATCCAACAAACAGCATACCACTAAATGTTCATTACTTTATATTAATTATAGGGCAAACATATTTGTTTTGACCCACTGCTGAACACGAATAAAACATTGGTGAACTTTGGAGAGGCGAAAACCTTTTTTTAGCTCTCCAAAGATAAATGCAAAAAAAAAGAAAAAAAACAGAGTTGTTGTCTTGTTGTTTCAGTAAATGATGTATTACATTGCTGGAAAATGCTGTACAATACATGCTGTAAGTATGATCACCCTAATTATATGTTCAAAAGTTTCAAGATATTTTACTAATATGTATATAATTACTTATAATATCTATATAATCAAATAATGAGTACAGTATCTTAAGCTAGGCAGCATTGTATTTGTTGATACACATACATTTTAGGTCTTACCTTTTCCCAAATCTTACAAAGCTCCCAATGTGATTATTCTATTTATAATTATATTAAAGACTATTTTTACATATATAAAATGTTGTATAACATGCGAACCAACTTATTTTATTACTGTACTCATTAAAAAAATGTATGTCTCACCCATTTTACGAGGGGCCCACTGAGAAAATCTTCAATATCACTTGCAGAGGCTGCCATCATTTAACTTAAAACCTATGTCTGCAATTTGTTTTCTCGAATAAAGTTATAGTTTTTGTCATCGTGGTAACTACCCTAATAAATATTATAAAAATAATTCATTTAAATTAAAATTATAAGTAAAATTTTTAACAAAGCTTATTATTGTTGTCCCACAACTTTCAACTGTCTTTTCCAGTCCAGTGTCAAATGTCAATTTCTTCTTTTTGATTTTATTCTTGGATTATTTACCTCTCGGCAGGTAGTCTCCTTTCACCTCACACAAAACATGTTCAAAGCCAGAGGCGTAACTAGCCCAGGTCCCTGGCTCAAGAAAAAATTGAATATATTAGCTTTTTTTGTGGAGCCTATCGGCGACAAGTACACGACTTGTCACTGATAACTAATCAGAAACGTTCTGCGATTTGTAAGATGTCTCTGACAAGAGATCACCGCGAACGACTTGTGTATCAAAATGACTATCATAACTTTAACTATAAATAAAAAGTGAGTGTAGATTGTGAAGATATTTTTAGAATATATATATGTCAGAAATATTCCATTGTAAAAACTGTAATTTTTAATTAGTTCGAACATTTAATTTTATTAATTTATTGGAATAGTCAACACAATTAAAAACTCAATCAACCATTCCTCTTGGTTCCATTCCTTTTTTCTCTTCATTAATGCAATTTTTTGCATTGCTTTTCCATACCATGAATTTACTCACAAATTGTTCACTTGTCGGTATCTTGTCGTGTACCGCGAATACTGGATATTTTGTCAAAATCCCCGATTTTTGGTTCCGTGAACGTCTAAAATCAAAATGCGCATGCTCATCTTACTGTGTTAAATTTAAATTTGGTGTTCCCTTTACTTCATTTGGATACGCCCATGTGGACTCCAGTCTGTCAAACAGCAACTTGCCTAACGAGGTTGAAGACCAATTCAATATGAATGGTGTAATGTATATTGCCTATGAACGTAGTCAACGAAGAATTTGAAAATTGTTTTACGAATTCACTCTCTGGGTTCATTATAATTTTTCCAAGTCGAAATTCGATTGGAAAATTGTATTTTTCAGATTTTCAGTCTTTATACTCATTATAATTATTTTATATAATTTTAGGAGGTGGTCAACCGTCGAAAAATAATTCTAAACCATATTATATCTATGCATCTTTATTGTGCCCTTACGTCGATTGACCATTTTTTCAAGTCGAAATAAGATTGGGAAAATGTTTTTTCGAATTTGTTTTGTCAAAAGGAAGTCCCAAATTTTTGCCGTAAGTTTAGGGATAGTCTATAATAAAACAATATATATTTATCACATACCTACACTTTATTTAGACATATATACATAATTTAACATAAGGGATTTTGGGGTAATTTACATTAAAAAATTGATATTATTTACATAAATTACAACGTTTAGATACAAATGCTTATTTATATCAAAAAATTAAACTTACTAAAAATTTTTATGCAAAATTGCATTTTAATAAATAATGATAAATAACTTAAGGAACAACTTTAATAAATAAACAATGAAATTTGTGTACGACCAATTGAAAATATAAAATATTATGAAAATAATATAATAAATGATTTGATTGCGTAAAATAGGCCAAAAATATAATCTATAAGTATACAATGGAATGGACCAATCAATCAAGGTAATTTGTATAAAAGGCCTGCAAAAATACAGGATAATTATCTTTCAAAAATCATTGTTCAAATTTTTTCAAAACTAGTAGACTAGAAAAAGCAGTCATAAATAAATAAGTTTAAGAGCCAAAATATGTCTTGTGGAACTCTTTTTTATGGAATTTAAATATTACATTATTTTACATTTTTATACTTTTAATTACATTTGAAGGTTGTTACAAAGGAAGAAAGCTTGTTTTGAATTAAAAATGTTACTATTAAAAATAAAGTTACTCAAGACATACCCTTATACTTATACGTTTCTAAGATCTCTTATTTTAAAACTAGATTATCGATAATTTGAAATACATTTGCGCATAAATCAAGCAAAAAATACTGGATGGAGTCAAATTTCGGTAAACCTATATTATTAATATAGTTCAAGAAATTGTTTAAAGGCACAAATAAGCCATATAAACAGGGAATGTCAATGAAAATTATCTACCCTAAATAATTTTAAAGGTGATGCCTTTCATAAAAAAATGCAAAAATAAGTCAAAAATCATATAATAGTTTTTTTGTTCATGTATACTCGTTGAAACTTTCACCCTCTCCATTTTTTCAATGGAACACCCTGTATATTATTGCATTTTTATTCTCCTCTAATATAGTAGACTCCAAAAATGTATAAATGTGGTGTAAAATAAATCGTTTGGAAGTTATAGAATAAATTAATGGAATTGTTATCATATCAATCACAAATTATATTATTTTATCAGGTGTTGAAACTGACTTTCATATTGGTTTCCATACAATGATACAACCACTGCGAACTCCCTACCAGTAAAACGCGTCATTCAGTAGAAGCTTGTGAACAATTATCGTATAAAAATTGTGAAGTCATGAAAAACGTCAATCGAAATCCGAAAAGTCAGAGAAATATCTGAAAATAAGTGATTGAAAATAATTTGAAAATTCGAAAACAAATCTCAAAAATCCCCATACGAATTATCAAGACCATTACCGAACCCCAAAGTTGAAAACAAATACTTGGGATTTCAAAAAAAAGTCTGTCGCAGCCATGAATCGAACCCGGATTTCATTGTGTGCTAGAAAGTGTCATTTCTTCTAAACTATAACGACATTGGCTGTCGAGATCCTAGGTCGAAATTTGATTTGCTAGTTTGTCAGAGTTAAGTTTTCAATGTACGTTAAGAGACGTATACCTGAGTGTGAAAATTGTGAAGGTATGAAAATTGTAAATCGCAAATCAGTTACTTATTTTTAGATATTTCTCTGACTTTTCGGATTTCGATTTAGGATTTGCGATTAACGATTTACGATTTTCATAACTTAACACTTTTCACACTCAGGTTTACATCTCTTAACATACATTGAAAACTTAACTCAGACAAACGAACATATGGGCTTAGTATGCATAAATGCATTTCTTATATGTACCGATGCTATATAGAGACGTATTTGAGGATAAGCTTGACCGCCGTCTGGCCCGAACTAGCACATCAAATTTCTGTCTAGGAATCTCGACAGTCAATGCCGTGATGGTTTCGAAGGAATGGCATTTGCCTAACAAACTAGGATGTTTTCAACTCTGAGCTTCGGGGATAGTCTTGATAATTAGTAGGGAGATTTTTGAGATTTGTTTCATATTTCAAATTATTTTCAATTATCATATAGCTTATGAACATTTATCATATCTATGGTTTCCGTAAAAAGTGACGTAATTTAAAAGTCTAAGCGAAAAACAACTACAAATTCTATATATTTTTATCTGGAAAGGCATCATAAATGAATTTTATAGCAATGCCAAGAGATGGCGTAAGTGTCGTTTTCGCAATCCGTCGATTTCTATCGGCGCCTATCTAGAAAACCGTCACAACTCAATAGTTTTGTAAACACGCTTGAGGAAGTATCGACTTATTTCACGAAAAAACGGCACATTGCACATCTCGAAAAGTGTTGGAATAACGCACGATTAATTTATCAAGAAAAGTGTCATATTTTAGTTGTGACGTTTTTAGCGATAAGGTAAGTGTATCAAATCAGTTATATAATCAGTATAGTTATTTTGTTTGAGTTATGAAAGTTTTCTTTAAATATTAGTGAATTTATCGAATGATTTACCTAAGTATTAACTTTTGAGTTTTCTTGAAATACTTATTAAATAATGTAAGATAAAGTAATACGTTCACTCGTAGTAACGAGATTATTTTAGTTTTTGTAAGTTCTATTTTCCAACTATACTTTATTACATCAAAATTAATAAAACTCGTTTGTTTGAAAATGAGACTAGTCGATAAAATATAGAAATAGAGACCAATAATTTATTATAAAATAGAAAATGCAGGGTGTTTCAATAATAAAAAAAAAACATGGGGATAGCCATGGGAAGGAAAAAGTGAAAGTTACAACCATTATAAATGAACAAAAAGACATCCCTTTTCATATTATTTTTGACTAGAACTGGCTAATCACACCTACCTATAGATTTCTTGAACCATACCTAAAAAACATATCACATTTTTCATTTACCAATATCATTTTATTATTCAAATATTCCTTTTTCTTTCAATTTTTTTAATTTTGAAAATTATTTCCGGTAAGCGTATTTTTTTCTTATATATTAGGAAAATTTCTAAAGAAATATTTTGTATCGATTTTAAAATTCGATAATGTTTGATGTATTCATTTTTCTAAACAAGATTAATTGCTAATATTGTGTTTTTATTTTGCGATAATAAAATAACATCTAAAGAAAATTTGAGGAAAAGAATTTGGTAAAAATGTCTATTAAATCTATTTTACAATGTATTTGAGTTAAAATATATTACTGAAAGAAAAATACTTTTGAATGTCTTAATACATTTATTCTGAAAACTGTAAACCATCTTCAGAATCAAAGAAGAATAATAATATATAATTTGTTTTATTTAGTAAAAACTATTACTACTAAAATTTGAAACCATTTTCTATTTTATACATTTTTAAATAAATTCAAATTTAGTACTTTTATAAAAATGAAAGATTATTTCACAAGAAATATAAATGATATTCAAAAGTATTTTATAAGTAGACGAAAGTTTTTAAATTTTAAAAGTAAATCCCAGTAGTAATTGAAATTGGTTTAATTAAATTATCCAAAATCTAATTTGCACAAGAAAAGATAATCTGAATTATAAATAAATAATCAAAGGTTATTTGGAAATAGTAATTTTGATTCACATCTAGCCAAACATAAAAATACTAGTACGAAATTTCCTTCAAAATTTGTTGTGGAGCGTTTTCATTAAATTTATTTACCATTATGAAGGTTTTAAAAAACTTTTAATACCAAATAGTTTAGGGGGGCGCTTTAAAGATGAAACGTCACGCGTCGTTTTGAAAAGGTGGTGGAGCCAGTGTTTACCAACGTGGTGC